ATAACCGAATGATTCTGTTCAACAAATTATCGAACCGATGTAACCTGTAGTCCAGTCACAATCAAAACAATCCTTCTGATCTTGACAGCTGCCCATCGGTTGGTGGTGAAGCGCAGTTGACCATAGCCGCGTCATTTTGAAACCGCTTGAGTCGGGCGAGTATGAGCGCAGCCTCGCAATTTTGAAAACTGTGCGAAACCTGCGACCACCGTAAGCCGATGAACTGTTGCACCAAATACCCACTTTGCTACAAACTCCACAAAATCTTGCGCTGCGCCCATGCCTGATCAAAGGAATTCCTTGACGAATGGACTGTTTCTTCTTTACAAAATTAGTCATCGAATTCCGGTATCCGAGATCGGACGGGCTACTTCTTTGTTGTATCTACTCAATAAGTTTTTCGTGTTTTCAAACGCGCTCGGTGCTCTGCACTAAATGCCCCAGCTACACCGTAAGATTCCTGGCCTGAAGATATCCGTCAAAACGCGATGTTATTATTTGCAGTTCCTTTTTTCTTTCTGCTTACTTCTTTTCCTTCCTTTTTTCTTCTTTATTATATCTCCCCTATTTCCTTCTTCTCGAATGTTCGGCATTTGGAACCTGAGGAAGTAACGCTGGACCCTCGCAGCGTTGGAACTGTTGGTAGGGTCTGCATTTCCTCAGAACCAGGGCACATCGTTGTTGGGGATTCCCGCAACAGGGGTCGTGTTTGGTCGCTGAGAGAGAGAGGGAAGGTCGTATTTCCCTTTTGTGCTTCTGAGTGGTTGCTAACTTTTCATAGTTTTTCCTGTTTCATGTGTATTATACCTCCTTTCGATAGCAAAATTTTTGGGTAAAAGTAGAAGGGCACATGGCTGTGGGGGGAATTCCCAACAGTCCCAACAGGGGGGGGGGTGGTATTTGGGCTGAGAAAAATTTATTTTGATAGTTGATTTTCTCGCTTCACGGACGTTGTAAAGGGGGGGGGGTCGTACTTGCTCATTGTTGGGAGGGGGGGTCGTATTTACTTTTTAGGCCTTCTAGGAGTCGTGGTTGACTATTCGTGATTTTCCTGGTTTTCCTGTTTCATGCGTACTATACATATACCCCCTCCACCTCCCCTCCCCCCTGTATAGATCTATGTGGCTTTATTGACGAGACGGGGTGGTCTCGTTGTAGTTGCGATGGAAGACAATATAGTTGAGACGGGGTGGTCTCGGTGGTGGACATGGTAGAATGCTAACTTAATCTAGGCGTGCCTCTCAATACAGCAGAGAGGTCACACATCGAGTATCTATTTACCTATGGGTCATAATCACATGTCTCAATGTTCCCTATGGGTTATACATATCAATCACTCAGTCTTAAAAGGATGCACCGGTTCTGGTAGCAATCCAGAACACCCCCCCCCCCCGTTTGACGACGGCTCGAATTCGATTGAGGAGCGACAGAGGGGCCGGAGGGGGGTGAGGGTTGTAGCAGCCCCAAAAAAGCGGGGGGGGTCGGTGGCGGACTGAAATCCCCAACCAATGATGTGCCCTGAAAAACTGGAAAATTTTGGGCAAATTCCAGAAAAAAAATAGGAAGTCGAGGAAAATCTAAGGAAATAGTAGAGAGAGGGGGTCGTATTCCCCCTCCTGCTCGACAGTCCGATAAGGTTGGGAACCAGGGGGGGGGTGGTCGTACCAACTCCTAGAAAAAAAGGGGGGTCGTAAAACTCGACCAAAATCCACAACCCTTGATGTGCCCTGCTTAGAACACTATCCTTGGCTCAATCTGTATTATAGGAGACGTAGGGTATCTGAATACGCACCTTTATGCTTACTCAAAGTATTCAAATTGTAATTAGTCAGTCAGTTATTAGTTGACCAATGTAATTACAATTAAGTTCATTCCAGAATTCTGTTACGGTAATGACAACTTGTCGTGTGATTTTCTCATATAATGCCCCTTTTTATTCGTCTGACGTAACTCATCTTTGGCCCGTAGACTCCTCTAACTTCATGCACCCTCTCCTATATCACGTATAGCTAGCAGAACGATCGGCCGACGTCACACTGGGCCACACGTGGCTTTTGGCGCCACCCCGTTTGGGCGGTCCCACGTGATGACTATTAAGTTCGGGGTGCGGACGCCCTCTTCAGTGCTATCGTTTGCCGATCGAGTGCACTGCTATTGTACTAACACTTCGCGTTATCTGTTCATTAAACTAACTTGCTTCAATCCACCATGCGTTCTTTTATTCGTGTCAGAAGGATGCCTCGACGTGGGATCGTATTGAGTACGAGTGAAAGTGGTACAGCCAGACTGATTGTCCGTGAAGATCGCTCTGCATTTGCGGTGAGTTATCTGTTTAATCTTGGGCGTTAGCCCTCTATACCGGGCTATTCGTTAAGTCCTGAGAATTCCCATGAAGCTGGAAATGTTGCGAATTCTGTAAAGTACAACCCTCAGTATAAACGAAAAATAGGTTCACCCACACGGGAGCCCTTCCACCTTCTAGGCCTGTGGGAAAATCTTCTCCTCACAAACATTTCTCTACACAAACTTTTCTTTTCTCTACAAAATCTTCCTACTAACTCTTCTGTACCAGCACTGATCGCACTCTGGATCTCGGGTTATGGGACTCGAGGAGGTCTGTTAAGAAGACGTGGCCAGTAGTTAACGAATAGCCCGGTGTAGAGGGCTAACGCCCACATTCGAACCTGGTGGCGACCCCGCTTCTGGCGGGTCCTCTCCCTTTTGGGGCAGTTTTAAACGTTTTAAATTGGAACATATCACGGGCAAGTACACTCCAGGCCATGTTCAAATGAAGTATGTAGCCACGCCTACTCAAATTTCGGGACACTGAGTGTAGCTTTCAACATGAAATGGGATTCCGAATAATGGCCTGGAAATTGAAGCCGTTATAATTCATGGCTTTCACGAACGGGGCTCGTCGAGAGCTGGGTATCCCCAACGAGTGGGGTCGTATTTTGTCGCTAAGGGGGGGGGGGGGTTCGATCGTGTTCGCCTTTGAGACAATGTTTTCAGTTTTTCATTGTTCTCAGTTTTACTCTTTCAAGTGCGCCATATAATATACCCTCCCCTCCTCGATTATCCCGATTTGGGGGTAAACTAGAGCATTTCACCAGGAAAAATGGTAGAAAATTAGGAAACTTCAGGAAGTAGGTAGGATGGGGGATGAGGAAGGGGGTTCGTACGGAGGAGGGGTCGCATTTTTCTCTCAGAATGATTTTCAGTTGTTGACTTCTCTCGAATCCTGTTCAAAGGGCTGTATACCCCCATCCTTCTGTTTTCAGCAGCTTTGTGGGGAAACTCCAGAAAACTCATTAACTCGGAAAACTTCCCCGGAAAAGTGGTGGAAAATGGGCAAAATTTTGGAAGATGATAGGTGGGATGGGGAAGGGGCGGTCGTATCAAAGAAGGATATTCCGAGGGGGTCGCATTTTGCAGAATTTTCCCCTCAAGGCAGAACGTGCCCTGTTCCCGATTTGTGGCCCAGCTTCCAATCTCGATTTCCTGGTTTCCATTAGCATTTCCTTGGGGTTTCACCCGCCTTTGAAAATTCGATACTCCTGTAGGTTCATGAAAGAATTACGAAAAGAGAACCCACTTTTTCTGAGCTTCAGTCACCATTTCTTAATTAGGTTTCTGGTTCACATGACCCGTGTTCTGATGTTTCAATGAGGAGATGCGCCGGCTCGATTGTTACACCCTTGTTGGAGGTCGCACGACCCGTGCAGAGATCTCTGATATAAGCGCTCCCGCCGAGTGATCTTTGTTGTGAACGTTTCCGATATAGTTTCTCCTTTCCCGATAATACTTATCTCCGACAACTCAGGGTGCAAAAGGTGAAATTCCTGGAGAGTTTGTCAAGTTTTCGATGTAAAAACTCAGCTATTGGAGGAAGAGAACCTTGCATTTTCAAAATTTCTATAAGAAAGCGATTGATAGTTTGTTTCTGAGAATAATTTTCGCCCGTAAAATATTTTTAAATGAGAGAAATTAGGGCGCGGAGAGGGAGAAATTATGTTGCGATCTTGTTCAGGTTCTATAAAAAATAAGCGGTAGTATAAGGAATTTAACGGTTATCCAGCAAGGGCGGAGCTTACTGTTTCGGTCCTGCAAATACTTTCAGTTAACGATGCGCGACTTTTCTACCGCTTCTAGGCGAGCAAGTGGTCCCAATTTGAGACAGTTTTTTGTTAATAGGGCCCCAAATCCGGTTATCTCTCTGAAAGAATCGCTACACTTTCCTCAACAGGTGTAGCCATAGCATCTTTGAAGGCGTAGATTGTATAAAATCGCAATAAGGCAAATATGGGAATGCATGATAATACATGACATCCTATTAGCACTTATATTATGATGGATTGGTATATTTCTAACTACCTAGCACTTTTAGGGTATGCTGGAGACGGACAATGGTGAATCACTCTCTGTCACTGGAAAACTTATGGAAGGCTGCCCTGAACCCAGTTCCTCGTCTGAGCCCTATGTCATGGAAGTCCTAATAGGTAAATCGTATTTTCCATATCATGCTTTCACTAAGAACCTCAATCTTTTCAAAAATCATAATGTTGCATAATGTTATATAATGGTAAATCATATAGGGAATATGGGGATGGTTATGCCAAGCTAACGTGCACCGGCTGTCTTAACGTTGTTACGGTCACTTAGATGCGGTGAAAAAACCTGCCGCTGACAAAGCTAGGAGAGTATTAGGGTTTCAGGTGGGAATAGTAGCAGCAGGTTTCTGTTGTTGCGATGATACCCTACTTTTTCTACGTACACATGAGTACTATGCTGACCCTCAGGCAGATCTCAGGGTTATGAGCAGGTTACAAAGGAAAAGTGTAAAAGATGAGTAGAAGTGTAAGAGTGTGTCATATTTGGCGTCAGTATTTTGAGCATCCGCCAGCGTTTCCAGTGTTTTGAGCGACTAAGAAAGTGTTGGTATTGGTTATCGCTGAAAACGCTGGTAGATGCCAAAACGCTCACGCTCGAAATACTGTATCGATACCTTTACTTTCTCAGTCGCCAAAACGCTGACAGACACTCAAAACGCTACTGCAAAGTATAAACGCTTTCTAGTGCGACTGTATCTTCAATTGACCCAGCCTGCTACGCTGAAATATGATTTTGGTCAGCCTTGTGAGTGCTTTAAGCACTATTATCTCGATTCGTGTAAGCTTTTATCGTAGGTTGAAGGTTGTGCAAACACTGCACTCTCTATAACGCTGTACTTAGCTGGTGTTTGCTCTCAACAGACGAG